ATACTCTACAAATGAAAGCAAAACATTAATAATCACTAAATTCTCGCCTGAATTCTTCCCTGGCATCTGCTCAAGTTTAGGGCAAAGGAGTGAGGAAGTCAAAAACCATAACTGAAAAAACTCTGGGAGCTCAATAGCTTTGAGTTCTACTCACAAAATAACCGATTTAGCACTAAAAAAAATCATTTTATCGCTAGAGTGAACATTGAGAATATACCTTTTCTGTCCAAAATAACCTCTTGCTCAAAATGTTTCAACATTTGATCTCAGGCTCTGCTCCCAGTCTTATCTTCATTTGCTCCTACTTAATACACTTGATACTAACGCCATCTAAAAAGATATGGCTCATAGTTCCATGGATGCAATTATTATGACGTGTGCCTTCCATCCTTATCCAGTAGAAATTGTATGTTGCCAAGAATGATTGATTTATTACTGCCTTTGTATTTGATTTTGTCATTATTCATTATTTTCTTTGTCAAACAGACCCACACTCTTCTTCACATAATCACCCAGTCCTGTCTCTCAGTAAGCAAAGTAGCGGATGGCTCCCAGCAGCCCACTGTGGAAACATGTAATGATAGTCCTTTACAAAAATGGCTACTAAGAAACTATACAAGAATGGAAGTTTTTAGAAATATTTTTGAGAATCCTACTGACTACATTCTCTAATAAGTTTTTATAAGCTTGTTTTGCAGACTGTGTTAAATTTATTTTACTATTTTTGTTATGTTCTCTTATTGAAATCTAGAAATTTTTTAAAAATGTACTTTAAAAAATCTTTATGTGCTATTTCTCCGTGGAGTTATTTGCCTTTTACTTTTAGCTGCTTATTAATTCGGAGGCTGACTTCATGAAGTAGCATTTGGTCTATTATTAATTAATAGACATTTTCCAGTTTTCACTTTATTTCAAATATTTATGTGTGCATAAATATAATTAATGGAATACATTATGACATTTGGGTTCACTATAGTCATGTTTATATAATAGATTTTGCATTAGAGCTAAAAATAATCAAAACTAACATAGCCAAAAATATGAATTGTTTGGGGAACATTAAAATTAATTAATTTTGTTAATTTTTTATTCAGATACTTCCATTGTGTGCAGATTTAGGGTAGCTTTTCTATAATTTATTTTAACCTGAAACTTTAAGCAAATGCATTTTCGAAGACTAAGATGTAATTTTCAGTAACTTTATAGAGTAAATTATATCTAAGATTTTCTTTGTGGTTGGCTGAGTGATATAATAATAAAAGATTTTTCAAAAGTATACCTTTTATCACTTGTGTGATTTGTGAATATCTTCTCAGGAAGCAATGAAAGGAATGGTTATTCAGTCTAAGTCAAAAAACTCGTATGAAATTCTTATAAAGCGTGCAAATAAGAACATGTGCTAGTTCTTGATCTTACTGGGATTACTGTCTTGTAAATAAAGGATATTACACTGTGCAGTAGCTTCCTATGAGAATACATGGGAAGTTAGGGCATCAAAGTTGTTAGTAGAAGACACAACGGAGCTTGGAACGCTCAGTGACAAGGCTGAATGGAGGTATGGAAAGGAGCCAAGAAAAAGAGCACCGTTTACATTAGAACTGCATTTGAGATGTATTAGAAAGCTGGAAAGGTTTGGACATTTTGCCCAGAGAACTTGTATACAAGACCATTTACATATATTATCTTAGTTTGTTTTCAGAGCATACCTGACAGTGTAACGTTCAACAAAGGGTCTTCTTAGAGTTAAGTAGACATTTAGAATTCTAGGATAGAAAGCACGACTTGCTTCTCTCAGCAGACCCTGCATCAGTTCATATAGCCTTAGGGGTGACAGCCCTCTGTGAAGAGATGAGAACCATAGCAGGCTGATGTGGCGACCATCCAGTTTGAAGCACCCGAGACACGTCTCTGTAACAACTCCATAGGCCCAGCTCTGAGGAACCCAAAAGAGTATGCAAAACTACAAATCTTGGCGCTGAGAGATGCCCAGGATTTGTTTTCCTATCAGGTGTTTATACTGCAGTGTATCAGATACAGATGCAGTTTACCATTCAGAGGTTATTTTTCCCATAAGTAATATTGCCTAGAAACATGTTAACAGTATCATTATTACCCTTATCAGATCACTAAAGGGGATCACAGTTATATAGTTGAATAAAGTTAAATTTTTTTTAATATATTTTTATTTATTTCTAGGAGAGAGAGAGAGAGACAGCGTGAGCAGGGGAGGGTCAGAGAGAGAGGGAGACGCAGACTCTGAAACAGGCTCCAGGCTCTGAGCTGGCAGTCAGCACAGAGCCCGACGCGGGGCTCGAACCCACGAACCGCGAGATCATGACCTAAGCGAAAGTCGGTCGCTTAACCGACTAAGCCACCCAGGGGCCCCTAAAGTTAAATTTTTTAAGCAGAAGGGAAAAGAGCATTTTTAAATACTGAGTATAATTAAGTGTTTTCCGATAAAGAATCGAGTCTTCAGAACGATTTGGTGGCTTGCCCAAGTTTTCATGGCTGGTAAGTGGGGGAAGAGGAATTCAAACTTAGGTCTCTCTGACCCTAAAATGTCTGGTCTTTCTACCGCACTACATTAAAAAGAAGAGGTTTTGGGGGAGTTTTTTTTGTTCTCTTTAAGATGGTGCCTTTTGACTATTAATGAATTCCTTCAAAGAAAACACTTTTTAGGAAAATGTACTAATATTGTGTAAATTATCCCATTTTAAAAAAATCTAATAAAAGTAATCAAGGGTAAATTTTTTTTTTTTTGAAAGAGAACATGTATACACAAAGGACCTCAGGAAAGTAACAAAAATGAAGTATTTTTTTTTATTTTAATGAAAATTTTCTAGAAAAAATGTTTTGCTTTGTATTTTTTTTTCCAAGTTGGTTGCTGGCTCATTAGCCAACAGCATAATTTCTAGCTCATTAGCCAACAGCATAATTTCTAGCATCATAAGACACCTTCTGAAATCATCAACCATCTTCTTGCCTATCTTCTGCCATTTCATCTCCTCTCTCCCTCTCTCTCTTTAGTATAAACAGCTTGATTTCACCTATTGAAAGAGCAACAAAGGCCTCAATCTTGAAATTTCCTTCACGTTTAATAGCTCTGTACTTTTAATTTCCTGCTTGTTGTCTATTAAGTGTTCCCTCCACAAGCCTATTTTCCATTCCATCTCTTCCCAGGGCAGCGCAGTCCAGGGTCTCTGCAGTCCTGTTCCAAACAAATTACAACTGTCCGGGCAGTGTTTCTCCACCCTTTTTATTACAGGCCTCCTGCATTTTTAAAATTTTTTTAGAGAGAGAGAACGTGTGCGTGCACACGAGAGAATGGGCAGAGAGACAACCTTAGGCAGGTTCCACACCCAGTGCAGACCCCTATGCAGCTGGATCTCTGGAACTAAGAGATCATGACCTGAGCGGAAATCAAGAGTTGGATGCTGAACCAACTGAACCACCCAGGTGCTCCCTCCACATTTTAAAAAATCCAACCTGCAATGTAATATCAAGAGCCATTCCCCACTTCCCCCAACAAAGTTTGTCTAACTTTAATTTTGGTATTTGCAACAAAATCATAATGTGTGCTTTTTTCAAGATATACCTGCAAATCACCTGCCATATGTTCAAACACTTTTCTTCAGGTTGGGAGTTTTTCATATAAAATGGCCGTAGCCATTGCCCATGAAACTTAGCAGAAATTTATATAATTTGTGTGCATAAATTAATATGCATAAAACATATGGATTTAAAACATATATATGAAAAGTTCAAAAGTATGATTTCAAAGTATAAATGTGAACTTGGTACTCCTGGGTGGCTCAGTTGGTTAAGCATCGGACTCTTGATTTTGGCTCAGGTCATGATCTCCTGGTTCGTGAGTTTAGGCCCCGCATCAGGCTCTGTGCTGTTAGCACAGAGCTTAGGATTCTCTCTCTCCCTCTCTCTCTCAGCTCCTCCCCTGCTCATTCTCTAAATGAATAAATAAAACTTAAAAATGTACAACTATGAACTCAAAAGACAAGATATGTGGGGCACCTGGGTGGCTTAGTCGGTTAAGCGTCCGACTTTCGCTTAGGTCATGATCTCGCGGTTCGTGGGTTCGAGCCCCGCGTCGGGCTCTGTGCTGACAGCCAGCTCAGAGCCTGGAGCCTGTTTCAGTCTGTGTCTCCCTCTCTCTCTGACCCTCCCCTGCTCATGCTGTCTCTCTCTCTCTCTCTGTCTCCTAGAAATAAAAAAATTAAAAAAAAAAAAAAAAAAGACAAGATATGTGATAACTCGTTCACATGGTACAATTACTGGAATTATATTTTAGCATTTGGGTACTGAGAGGATGCTTATTCGTGAGTATCATGATTATACAGAAAGTAAAATATGGATATAGTATTTTAAAATGTATGACCATAACATCCCTTTTTGTATTTGGCATTGACATTTTTTTAAAATACTTAAAAACGAAAACCAAAATATGGTGAGCACACTATCAAGTAACACAGTTCTTTGTTGCTATCATAATCATTCTTCTACACAGAATGGCACAGATACTATGGTGTGTTTAGTATTTGAAATGGGAACATCTCTAGCAGTTTTTGTTCATTTGGGTCACAGCTGTGACATCTTCTTTGCATGTTTACCAAATGGTTACTGAATAACACGTGCCTAAGAAAACGAAGGCTTTGTGAAAGCATGTTAATATTTGCAGCCCTCAAGTGAACTCAGAGCTCACAAACGGGCTTTTTACAAAGGAGCCTGAATTCTTGGCAATGCATGATAAATGTCAGCCAATTTCCTTAACCATCTGCAGATAAAGGTGCGTTAGACAATGATGAAACTGTAACAGTAAAAGTTGTATACCAATTCGGAGCCACGTGCAGTTTGTTTTACAAACATATATATCACTGTGTTTATATTAAAACAATAGTAAAGGATTTTCAAAAGAAATTTAATCTGATGAGCAAGTGATGGTGAAGATAAAATAGGTTGTACTGATCGTTGGTTATCTTTTACAGAGGCTCACCTTGAGACATGTTAACAGTAACCAATGCCTCGATGAACCTTCTGAAGAAGACAAAATGGTGCCTACCATGCAGGACTGTAGTGGAAGCAGATCCCAGCAATGGCTGCTAAGGAACATGACCTTGGGGGCATGAAGATTGTTTCCCCAAAGCCATGAACGCGTCTACACTTTTGTTTTTTCCATTATTTCAGTTAGGGAAAAATATTAACTTTGCTGAATTGAAAGTTTTAAAATCCTTTTAGTATTCTAAAATACAGTTGTTTATAATTCATTTTTAGGAATGTTTGCTTATTTCCCTACTAAAATTTGTATCTGATCAAAGAAGCACATAAAATATATAAATAACAGCAAACTGTTATTAAACATCAGAACAACTTGAAAAATAAATTGTGTTTGCTTTAAAAAAAAATCTTTACTGCCCTCATCTCACAAGATTAGTCAGGGGCTTACTTTAATTTTGTTCTTGTCTTAGTGATTGAAAGGGAGACAATGTAAATGCCTTATAAAATATCTTCATTATATTATCAAATCTTTTAAAAACTCACTGTTTCTAATGGACCTTCATGGAAACATGTTGATTTTCTGTGTCAACAACAAGGCCACACATTATTTCTGAGCAGTGAATTCAATGTGCACAGTTTCAGTTTTGTAGGAAAAAATTAAATTGGATATTTACTTCTCACAGAGTTCTCATAAAAGCATCACAGTTACACAAAATAGAGAGAGTTTGAAAGTTCAATTTTAAGGGCATGAAATCAGAAGAAACCAGTTGGCACTGAAGGTGGCAAGACGAAGCTAAGGTGAAAAAAAATAAATTATTTTAAAAGGTATTCTGTTTGGGTTGCAATCACTCCTAACATAGGTTGGGCATAAGCATCATCTTGGTCCCAGAGCTGATGCCAGAAACTCAATTCTTTTTATTTTTTTTTTTAAATGTTAATGTTTATTTTTGAGACACAGAGCATGAGCAGGGGAAGGGCAGAGAGAGAGGGAGACACAGAATCCAAAGCAGGCTCCAAGTTCTGAGCTGTCAGCACACAGCCAGATGTGGGGATGCAGGGCTCGAACTCACCACCGTGAGATCATGACCTGAGCTGAAGTCAGACGCTCAACCGACTGAGCCACCCAGGTGCCCTCAGAAACTCAATTCTTAACCACTGCCTCTGTGTCCCATAAACTATACAAACCCTTCTCTCTTCACTCTAGAGAGTGACTTCTCTCTTAGGCTGTACAGAATTGTAGGGGAAGGGTAGAGTACTATCCATAATTTTTCATTCTTTTGCATTTCAAAATTCTAGCTACTTCACTATTACCATTTTCACTTTATGTTTAAAAAAAAAAAAAAAACAATGCAGTACTATCGGAATTTCATTGCCATGCAACAGTACCTAAGGTTTTCATCACCAGGGGAATGAACTCCATGTACATCCATTGAACTTTTACTCTAATTAAACTGCTTAAAGTTATTTGCCATAAATTGTAGTTCAAGGGGCACAATCATAAGTAGGCTACCTTCACATGTTCCTTTTCCATTTTAAAACTCTGTATTCAAAATACATGAACAGAAGATATGAAAAGGAAAGGAAATCTGATACTTGTGCTAGTAAGTTTTAATATCTGACACCATTTAAAATGCCCATAGATTTGTTCAACATAGGTATCTTATTCATTAGAAGTGTACTCAGCTGGGGCACCTCAGTGGCTCAGTTGGTTAAGCCGAATTTCAGCTCAGGTCATGATGTCATGGTCTGTGGGTTCGAGCCCTGCATCAGGCTCTGTGCTGACACCTCAGAGCTTGGAGCCTCCTTCAGATTCTGTGTCTCCCTCTCTCAATTTTCTCCTGTTTGTGTTCTCCTGTCTACCAAAAGTAAACAAACATTTAAAAATTAAAAACAAAAAAAAGGAGTCCACTCAGCTCCTAAAAGAAATTTGGGGAAAAGATGGAAAAAGCATTCTGTGGAGTAGAAGATGCTACACCTTTGGCCCTTAGCTTAAAAATCTCTGAGAGAAACTTTTAATCAGTTTTGGTACACAGAAACCCTCTCTCTCTTTTTGCCTCTCTTTTTTTGCCTCTCTCTCTCTCTCTCTCTCTCTCACACACACACACACACACACACACACACACTGCTTTATAATGAAAAGGATGCTTTCTGAAGGCTGGTAAACTCTTGTATGACTTTCTCAGCTAGCATCCCCCACTCCTTTGGCTGTGTCCTGGTACAACTCTAAAGAAGATTTCTACAACCTGAAGCATTTCAGGTTTACTCCTTCAAGTGTACACACATACCCCTTACCTTATGGTGTCTTAGAATCCTTCAATCTCCTAAAAATTATAAACAAACGTTTGGCTGTCAGGGCATAATGTTTTGAGAAAATAATCTATAGCTTCCAGCAAACTTCAAAGGAACTATGACTCCCAAGCACCAGTGAACCACTGCCTTAAATTTATAGCGGCCTCACAAGGCAACCGAATCCTGACTTAACAATCACAGTTTCCATTTCTTTTTTTCTCCTGTCTTGACTAAAATACAGTAAAATGTCCCTGCACAGTGTTCTTCCTTAAACTTGAAAATCTCAAATGCTGAAGAACTCTGTTATATTATCTGTTCCACTTCGTATGGATTTGTCACTCAAAATGCTTATGTTATCCACAAAGTGGACAGGGACAGATTTTTAAAAATACAGTTACTCTGTGGAAACTGAATTTGACCCATTGCAGCAGCATTTTTAACATATGAAAGTCCATTATACATCAACAATACAGGAAAAATTAAAACTGTGTAAGTTTCATGCCACAGGTTTTCAAAGAACACTCAGATGGTTTAAACACATTGTATTAGAGTGTCTAATAAAAAAGGCATAAATGTTATAAAACACCAAAATCCAGAAAGCAATGAGTAACGTTCAATTTAAAAATATTTATTGTATTCACTACAGAAAATTAAAAATAATGATTGGGTTCCCAATGCATTCATTTTATCTGTGGGGCTAAACTAATAGATATTTCAAATGACCTCAAACTTCCCCTTCTAATGTTGTCCCCACAACAGTGAATGCTAACCCCAACTTTCCAGATGTTGAGATCAAAGACCTTAAGTCACTTTTGATTCCTCTGTTCTTCTCTCAACTTTCAGCTAACCCATCAGCAAATTCCCTTGATTCTATATTTGAAATATAAGCAGAAACCAATAACTACAACCATGACTTACCACCACATCCGCTGTGTGCCACCTTTAACTTTTTAAACTGCAATATGATTATAATTTGGTTCCGATTTCCCGGCCCTTGCCTCTAACAGTCTTTATCAAATACAACAGCCATAGTGATTTTTGTTAGACAGAAATTTGGTTGTGTCACTTCCCTGCAATGACATTCCACGTCTCTCTAACCAAATTTCTTGGTGAATGATGCCTCTGAACTCACGCATGCGCTCCCTGGATCTCCCCGCCCCCGGACCCCGCCCCCACAAGCACTAGTTTCTGACTGCATCTGCTCATGCTGCCCCTTACTTGCTCCACTCTGGCTGCCAAGCAAGTTTCTGGGTTATTGTTTTGCTTCCCCTGCCCCCCAGAGTTCTCTCACCTCACCTTCTTTAGGTATCTGTCCAAATATGATCTCATCAGTAACGCAAACCCTTCTCTCTCCTGCCCTCCCTAGCCCCCTGTACGTTCACCGACAAACTAAATTTGCTTCTTTATGTCTACCCTTCCACGTCTCCCCGATCCCAACATCCTCATCACACGCCCTAGAATATAAACCCCATAAGGCCAGTTTTTGCCAGTTTTATTCACTGTGGTATCCCCAGCATCTAATATAGTTCTGGGCACAAAGTAAGTATTCTATAAATATTTCCTGAATTAATGAATTGAGAAATGTGTGTTAAAGTTGCTAAGTACTACTGTATCATATTTTTTGCACAGTATTTTAAATTTTAAAATAAAATCTAGTAATATATTTAGACGAGATTTGCATAACTTTGTCTCCAAATGATAATTTTCTTCCTAATACTCTTTACATTAGAGTATGGACTATATTTTGTTCTCTATGGTAAAATATCCTGCCTTATGAAAGTGAAATATGACATTTCATAAACATGTTGCTATATATATATATGTTGCTTTATTAAGGTAAAATTTCTATTTTTATTTTTTGGTTATATTCAATGGCTACCTGAAGAAGTAGGATTTTTTTTCTTTTGGAGATGTATCATCCTCTTAAAAATTATATGTATATTCATGGTTTCATAGGAGCTATTACTAATCTATTTTCTCAGTGCAAGTCTATGAACAATACACAAGCATCGTAACTTTAAGAGGAATTTAGAGATAATCTATTCCTAGCTTCTTCATTTACAGCTACTGAGACTGACATCCAGATTTATAATGTGGCTCACCCAGGGATCAGAGAACTATAAGCAGTGTTGCCAGGACTTAACCATTGTTAATATAACCTGTTATTGTCTTCAATTAAAAACTACTCAAAAATAAAATAGAAAGGGCACAACAATGAGGAGAAATGTCTTCAATAAACATTTTGTGAAACATGCATTGACTCTTTAGAGATATAGAACTTCCCACTACCTTTCATATTTAAATAAGCTTAATTCTATAAAATAATACCACAGGAAGTAAAGACCTGTAGCAACAATAAAGAAATTAACAGGAAACAGCATAATTGCAGACTATCCTGACATTATTGGGCAAAATTGGTTTCAGCGAAGCAAGCCTCTTAAGCAGTAACTAACGGAGCATACCCTCTCCTCACTTCCATTTTCCTTATAATTACGTTCCAGTTACAAATGACTGGCCTATAGCTTGCACAGAGAATTAGACCATCTATTACTGTGAACATTTGGTAGATTCTAGGCTATGTAGGTTTAAAGTCTGCAGGGTAATCACCAGAGATTTTTCAGCTTCCCAGTCTAACTCTCTAGACTCCACTAAACACAACCCATAAATTCTATTTTGCTATGGTTCTTGGAAGGAGCCTAATAAATAAAAAGGGGGGGAAAAGCAGAGAGAAAGAAAATGAACTACAACCATAAAACAACAAAAATGATGTTATATATATATATATATATATATAAGTGTTTAGCAGGAAGATAAGAGAATAGTATGAATTGGTTCAGTAAATCTCAAAATATTGGCTGCCCACCTACATCACTTTTTTTTACCACTTGAGAAATGGTGATTATATGTGAATCACCACCATTTTATTTGTATCTTGTTTCTAGCTGTTCTGTCCAGTCTCAGAGGATGCAAACCTTATATGCATTTATAAGTCATAAAGTACACTCATTTAACAAATACGAAGATTTAAGAAATTTAAGATCTTAATGGATGTGTCATCATCCACAAGCTGTCTTT